TCCGAGGTTCCAGCCGAGATGATTTACTACGGCTGAAGAGTTGATGATTTGCTCAACTGCAAGGTTCTAGCCGAGATGATTTACTCCGGCTGAAGAATTGATGATTTGTTCAACTCCGAGGTTCCAGCCAAGATGATTTACTCCGGCTGACGAGTTGATGATTTGTTCAACTCCGAGGTTCCAGCCGAGATGTTTTACTCCGGCTGGCGAGTTGATGATTTGTTCAACTCCGAGGTTCCAGCCGAGATGATTTACTCCGGCTGAAGAGTTGATGATTTGCTCAACTGCAAGGTTTCAACCGAGATGATTTACTCCGGCTGAAGAGTTGATGATTTGTTCAACTCCGAGGTTCCAGCCAAGATGATTTACTCCGGCTGGCGAGTTGATGATTTGTTCAACTCCGAGGTTCCAGCCGAGATGTTTTACTCCGGCTGGCGAGTTGATAATTTGTTCAACTGCGAGGTTCCAGCCGAGATGTTTTACTCTGGTTGAAGAGTTGATGATTTGCTCAACTGCGAGGTTCCAGCCGAGATGTTTTACTGTGGCTGGCGAGTTGATGATTTGTTTAACCCCGAAGTTTCAGCCGAGCTAATGTTGCTCGCCAAGAAAGAAGGAAGTCTCGAAGCGGACCTTGCTCGCCTTCTTTGGAGTTCCTTGGCCGAGCTGATCTTGTCCGCCAAGAAGGAAGTGGCGGAGCGGACCTAGCTCGCCTTCTTTGGAGTTCCTTGGCGGAGCTGATCTTGTCCGCCAAGAAGGAAGTCGCGGAGCGGACCTTGCTCCCCTTCTTTGGAGTTCCTTGGCCGAGCTGATCTTGTCCGCCAAGAAGGAAATCGCGGAGCGGATCTAGCTCGCCTTCTTTGGAGTTCCTTGGCCGAGCTGATCTTGTCCGTCAAGAAGGAAGTCGCGGAGCGGACATTGCTCCCCTTCTTTGGAGTTCCTTGGCCGAGCTGATCTTTTCCGCCAAGAAGGAAGTCGCGGAGCGGACCTAGCTTGCCTTCTTTGGAGTTCCTTGGCCGAGCTGATCTTGTCCGCCAAGAAGGAAGTCGCGGAGCGGATCTTGCTCCCCTTCTTTGGAGTTCTTTGGCCAAGCTGATCTTGTCCGCCAAGAAGGAAGTGGTGGAGCGGACCTTGCTCGCCTTCTTTGGAGTTTCATGGCCGAGCTGATCTTGCTCGCCAAGAGGGAAGTCGCCGAGCGGACCTTGTAATGTAATCCCAGTCACGCTAGCGCGGACGGAATTAAGGGGCAATTGAGAGGGAGATTTATGATTTAGTTTCGGCCAAACAAGATTGGGCCGAGGTATTTGGCTTCAAGATTGTGCCGTGGTTTTGCTCAGTAATGGCAAAGGGCCTGCGGAGCCGAGCTACTTGGGCTCTTTGGTATGAAGGCCGGTCAAGTGAGAGCTCGGCTGAGACGTCCGCGGCCTACAAGGGCTTCATGGTTCGTGCGTTGCTCGGTCGGAAGGCACGCACCCATAGCTCGGCGTGAAGATTCGTGCCTGAAGCTCGGCAGGAAGGCCTTTGGTTGACCGGAATGACCAATCCCGTGCTCGGTGTCGCCGGAATGCGGTCGAGCATGGCTGAAACGAAGCTCGGTTATTGGAAGCACTTGGTCTTGAAGTGCAGTATGGCTGTTGGCAGCCGAGAAGCTGCAGCCCGGCTGCCGAGCTCCCAGTAGAGTGGGCTGGCAGTTAGGTTAGGTGGTGTTCAGCAAGGTTTATGCTGACAGATGGGATAGCGGAGCCACGTGTCAGGAGATGACTGGGAGTGGATATGGGGCGCAGAGGGTATATAAGCATGTCTGCGCCCCCCATACGCAGGGAGACGAACACTTTGTAAGGAATTCTTACACTCAGACACTCCTCTTTCTCTCTCGGTCCTAAGGTATGTGCTAACTTGATCGTCGGAGGGGTTTTCCGGCCACACACCGCCGGGTAGCTCACCGCTGTTGTGCTCGCAGGTGATCGGACAGAAACGGAGCTTGGAAGAAAGGAATACGGGCTTGCCTGAATATTTGCTCCCCGTACAACTTGTTACCTATTTTGAGTTATCTCATATCTCTATTTTTTTACACGTTTTTAAAAAAAAAAAATCAACAAAACAAAAAAAATCAATTTTTAACCAACTTCCCAAAACATTATACTACAAGGACAAAAAAGTAAAAAAAAATTAATACAATTTTTTTAAAGAAACACTACAAAATAAAAGGGAACTTTTTAACAAAAATGAACTTTATTACCCAAATACTTTCTTTGACTTTGACTATAAGTGAGTAGATTTTTATTTATTTTTATAAGGAAACAGGAAATTAAATAAAATTTTAGTGGAAAAGCCAAACAAAGAAAATAAATTTAAAATGTGAATAAGTGATGACAATGGGCACAAGAACTCGCTTCCAAATGTTCACACCAACAAATAAATAAATATATATATATATATATATATGATGATCCATTTCAACTAACAACTCCATTTTCATACCAAAAGGTTATTTTCCAAAATAGATTCAAAATTTAGGGCTGGTTTGGCTTATCCTAAATAAGTCAAAAAGTCAAAAAGTTACTCCAAAATTCAAAAAGATATCACAATTCACCCAAAAAAAAAATTAAAAAATCAATTTTCTTCAAAAAAAAGTACACACCGAATTGATGTGTGTGCAGCTGCTGTGTGCGGCAGTGGAGAAAAAAGAAATGATTGGGTGTGGTTTTTACACATACCGTTGTTCGTCCTATGGGGGTCATCACGGGTCCTGTTTTGATAATCTGAACCGTTCAATGTGTAGAAATCGTCGAGTACTATATGTCTGCAAAAAATCACATTGATCGGATATCGATAACTATATGATCAAATCAGTTATGAAAAAGTGATTTTTTATTTTTTTTTATTGTGGATGATTTTTTTTTTTTTCTTTTTTGGGTCTTATAAAACAATGAAATTCATAAGAAAAGTAAATAATAAATAGAATTTTTATATAAAAATGCCTATTCGAAATGATGTAACTATTTTATTTTTAAAAGGGTTTATTACACTTTATGCCTTCATTTGGCATAAGCTAAACGGAAGTTTTTTGGTAAAAATCATTACAAAAAAACAAAATAGGTGTTTTAGTCTAATAAGACAAAATGTTACATCTAAACCATAATCATTTTATTTTTTTCTCACAAAAGTCAAAAAAATCAAAAAGTCTATCACAAATGAAACTTTTTAACCCCAGGCTAAAATAGTCACAAAAACCAAAAAGTCAACCCACATCCCAAACGAACCCTCACTTTTAAATTATTGTCAAATTATCTACTTAATCTTTGAACTATTGATTGAGTCTACTATGTTTGGGAAGATGGTTTTGGCTATTTTAACTACAAAAGACAAAATAGGTTATTTTAGCCACAACAAACAAAACATCACATCCAATCCATAATCATTACACTCTTTTCTCACAAAAAAAGTCAAAAAAGCCAAAAAGTCAAAAAGTCCTTCCCAAACCAAACTTTTTAGCCCAGGCTAAAATAGCCAAAAAAGTCAAAAAGTCAACCCACTTCCCAAACGACACCTAAGTCCCTATAATATATAAATCAAAAGTCTATTTAATTCATAAACTATCGATTAAATGTATTAAATTCCTAAAGTATTTAGTTCAAACTTGAAAAAATTACAAAAATAAAATTTAAACTTGTAAGTACTATAAATTAGTGAAAGATGTTATCTATTTAAAATTTATTTCAAAATAACCTTAAATTTTATTATATTTTTCAAAAGTAAGCGTAAGTTCTTATGGTGAATTGTTTTTATAAGGATAAATGTAATTATCTATAATATTTGTTTACTTATCTTCTGCAGTTCTATGTGTTTGCTTTTATCTGGTATTATATGTCTAATTTCATTTGTAATTTTCTAATTAATTATTTTAAAATAATAATAATAATAATAATAATAATAATAATAATAATAATAATAATAATAATAATAATCATGGCAACCATGATAAACTTTGGATCTCGCTGTGCTCAACTTTCAAGAGTTGCTCCAACTTGTTGGTGACTTCAAGGCTTCAATGTAGAATCATTCGGGGCTTCAATGCAGAATCAATACTAAAGTGTGTGTTGAAATACCCTACTAACCAAGTATAAACATAATGGACAAGGAAGATGGCATCGAACTTTCCAAGATCAAAAGAAGAAGCAATTCTATTTAGCCCTTTGTAGATGCTAGCAAGTACAGGAATGTCAAGGCTGAATGAACGACCATGAGCCATCATACTAGCAACCTTAAACACCCCAGGTCTAATCGAGTCACTATCTCCATGAGCTAGAACAAAGCACAACCAACAAACAAGGAAAGGTAACAGATAAGTCTCACCCTTTGCCGCACCAATAATCCCCAAATCATTAAGGCCTTGTTTGTTAGGGGTATACAAGGGGCGGAAATGAGGGGGACCGGATATAATATGAGGTGGGTCCCATATATTTTCTTGTCTCTCTATATCTCGTGTTTGGTTGATCCAAATATAGAGAGCCCGGATAATATATCCCCCAAAAAGGGGGATATACAATACCAACTCCCCATGGTATTGTATATCCCCCACCATCGGATATAGTGGATTTTTCATCCGAAGGTCAAAAATAATTACTCTCCTCTTATCCTAGCCTATATCCTATCTGAACCAAACATAATATAACAGTATATATAATCCATCTCATATCATACAACATATTATATCTCATCTTTATTCTTAGGTATTACATATCATCCTCAAACCCTTATATCCAATCCGGACAATCAAACGGGGCCTAAAACATCTCTACAAACCAAATCAAATCATCACATCTAAGTCTGCATTTAATGAATAAAATTTCAATTTCTAGATGGCAAGCTACTTCAATGTAGGCAATTTAATTCAATATTGCACAATGTAAATAGAAATTTTGGATTAAAGAGGTGATAAAAACCCTAAACACATCAAATACACAGAGAGAGAGAAATGCAATGGAAATAAAAAGGACTACGTTTGGCGAGCCTGGAAATCTTAAGAGAGGTTTCGTGTACGCCCAATCCGATCCGCGAAGCCCTCTTGTTGAATTCGGATCTGTAAGATGTCGCCGGAAGTTTCGACGTCGACGGAGTGGTTTGCGATCCGTTTGAGGACGCGAGTCCTCCGGTCTTCTGTAATGTCTCTGACAGAGATCGGAACTCCAAAGTCCGGTCTCGGTAGGGGGAAACTCCGGTGGACGACATGGACAGTGACGTCCGGACCACCGACTCCTATATATACCAACTAGTCAACTCAACTGGCGTGTACCCAAATCTATAACAACAATGTCCACAATTCTCTCTCTGTCTCTCTCTATCTCTGCTGATACGTGGATGGGTTCTGTCAAGTAAAGCCCGGTGCAGTCATTTATTTGGTCAAATAAGAATGAAAAATGCTGGTCACCCAAATAGTTTATTCTCGCATGGGTCTAGTTATTTGGAATGTTTTAAATAAATTTATTTTTTTATTTTTTATAAAATATAGATTAAATTTGAAGTGATATGGTAAAAAAATAATATGACTTAAATAGAATGATGTGATTTAAATAGGATAATAACTTTTTAATTTTTTGAATTTTTTTGAAGGTCCCAAACCAAGCCTTATGTCATGTGAATTTCATATATATATGATATTTGATAAATATTTAGTAAAATATTTAAAATTTTTAATATTACTCAATAAAAATAGCTCATTCTATCCGTTCTTATTCTGTTTTCAACAACACAGTATGTTTGGTTTGAGTTTGGGAGATGAGTTTTAGAGATAAAAAGTATGAAAAGTTGTTTGGTTTTGTTTTTTTCAAAAGATGTTTTGGAAAAAATTTTTGAGAGAAAGTTTTGGAAAAAGTGATTGATTTGATGTGTATGAGAGAGAGATTTGTTTGGAAAACTTGTAAACCAAACAAGTTTTGGAAAAAAAAATTGAGAAAATTTGTTTGGTTTGATTATTTTTGAAAACTTATTTGTAAAGAATTTTTCTCAAAAATTTTTGGGAAACACAAACCAAACAAGGCCTATAAATCTCAACCTATTAATCTAAAATGAAAAGATCCTAACAAAATTATCAATTTTTTAATATTATGCAGCTGTGAACCATCAACTTCATATTATGGCATTCTTTTATTTTTGCAACATGCTTAATCATATTTGTGAATCAAATTCTGGGTTACTATTATTGTTTTTAATTTGAAATTCACAATTATTCACAAGTTTTGGAAAAAAATCTTGGAAAATTTTGTTTGATTTAATTACTTTGGAAAACTTATTTGTAGGGAATTTTTCCCAAAAATTTTTAAAGAATTTTTCCCAAAAATTTTTAGGAAACACAAACCAAACAAGGCCAATCTCAACCTATTAATCTAAAATGAAAAGATCCTAACAAAATTATCAATTTTTTAATCAAAATTATCAAATTATTAAAAAAATTATAATTTTGTTAAGATTTTTAGCATTGCTCGTCTAAATATCAAATTTTTTACTAAACACTCATAATTTGATAATTTTGTTAGTGATTTTAGCATTGTTCATCTAAAATTTATTTAGAAAAAAAAAATTAATAGTTCAAATTCATTTAATCTTCACCACGCAAATACATTCGGATAAATTATTTTTTTTATCAATAAAAATGTTCATTAAAATATAAAAGCCAAACGACACTTACATAGAATCTATACCAACAAAAAAAGATTACCCCAAACTAAGAGAAAATACTCAAACAAATGCATATAGGACTAGCTATGAGAATAACAAGACGCTAAGCCTGTACTGCCAAGTAGAGGCAATTATAAGAGTTTGACAATAGGGCAAGTCGAAGATAAAATCATAGGCTACATCCACAGAGATGAGTAAGCAACAATCAAACATCAATGGAAACCTAACCACACAATCAAATACCAAAAAACAAAACAAACTAGAAAGACAACCTTCAGACCTTAGACAGGTGAAAAGACGACGACGACATTAGCGGCCAGAGGCAAATCTGGAAAGAAGCAAAGAATGGTAGAGGTAGATCTGATGAGAGTGGGACCGTAGAGGCGAAGAAAAGGCAGATCTGGTAGCAGTGGCGGTGATGGCACTGAAGAGAGACGGATAAAGAGAATGAAGGCAGCTCCGGTATGAAACATACCTCACAAGGGAGAGAGAGGAATGGAAAGACAAGCTTCCAAGCTTATTTTGCTGAAAATCGAAGAAATTGAAGAAAAAGGATGAGAGAAGAGAGAGGAAGTCGGAATCCCCCTCTTCCACCCTAGTGGCACATGTAACGCCCCCAAATAATAGACATAAAGATCGATCTAATTAATTCATTCAACCATAATAAACTTAACTCAAGTGATCAAATCTCTATATTTGTATTCCATTCATATAAGAGATTTACAAAATGGTCCGCATACAATACATATTCAATCCTCTCAAAGTTGAATCTATAGTATGTGAGACAGTTAAAAACGAACAAAATAATAGCAAAAGAATAGCTCAAGGGTTACAAGTTCCAAGACTTAGGCTTGGTTACACAAAAGGTGGTTATTAAACCAACACAAGTAAACCCTTTGGCTTGTCAAAAGAACTAACAAAAGAAAGAGCCTTGTGCTCTCCAAAGACTTCTCATGCCCTTAGTTAGGTGGGATGACTATATCATTTCCTGCACAATTCCACTAGGGGTAAGCACGAAGCCCAGTAAAGATATTTCACAAAGTATATATGTTTAAGTAGTCGTATATACATGAATGCAACACCATGCCATGCTCCAAAATTCACAAGTTTTATTCATTTGAAAATCATATGCAATGATCTTTAAAGACAATTCATTATCTTGATAAATTTCAAAATTTAAATACGGGGTGGTAAATACGACTTAGGTAATTTCTAAGTTGATGTCTAAAAGTAGACATAACAAGCACTACCAATGCCCCACTTTACCGGCTTCTAATCGGAAGGCACGTTTCGGTCTTTTATCCTGGATACTCAGTGTAATGACTCGGATTCTAATTCATATCGGATTGGTGTAAAGTGGTGCCCGTCACCTTAAAACTTGTATGGTTGTCGGACTCTTGGTATTGATGGGTTGGCAAGTGAACTTTAAATATTATAATTGAGGACCCTGGGGTGATGTTTGGAACCTTGATTGAAACCTTAACAAGGTATTTAGGCAAGATTGCCCCAAGTTTGAGTTTTCGTTTTTGACCAACCTTCACTCTTTTTCCCTTTTCTTCTGCCATACTTTTAATTTGAATGTGAGGTTAAAACCATTAGAAAGCTTGTTTTCGGGGCTTCGATTTGGACACAAGAACAACTTAAAACGGAGTCTGAACGAGAGAGTTATACCTGTTTGAATTTTGAGTTTCTATGCTGGAAGCATGCTCGCTCGAGCAAATTGCGTGATTTTCAGAGATTCTAGAAGTTTATTTTCTACGCTCGAACCAAGCTTCCTTTGCTCGAGCGACCAGGTCACTAACAGACATTATAAAGTGACTTTTTGGCCCAAAAACTTTATTTTTCTCCCTCTTTTCTCCTCCCATCCTCCAAACCCGAAACCCTAACCTTCCAAACTCTTGATTTCTCTACTTTTTACCAAAGATTCACCCCAAATCTTTCAAAAAGGTTGAAAAACAAGCATGGATCAAGACTTTTACCGATTAATTTGTGATTTCATTGGAGTTTGAGATGGGTCTTCACCCTTAGCTTCCAATCTTGAGGTAGGGATACTTTTACCCTAATATTTCTTTATTTTGAAGAGATTTCATGGCATTGTAATGACCTATGAGCTAATTTGAGGATATTGTTAGATTAAACCCATGTTTTACATAAATAGACCATTTTTCTTGAAATTTCTTAACTCCTTTTTCAAAACATGTATATAAATGTTGTTAAAACCTATATCTATGATGAAGAAGAAAAACCCCCAAATTTGGTTTGAGATGGGTCTTCACCCTTAGCTTCCAATCTTGAGGTAGGGATACTTTTACCCTAATATTTCTTTATTTTGAAGAGATTTCATGGCATTGTAATGACCTATGAGCTAATTTGAGGATATTGTTAGATTAAACCCATGTTTTACATAAATAGACCATTTCTCTTGAAATTTCTTAACTCCTTTTTCAAAACATGTATATAAATGTTGTTAAAACCTATATCTATGATGAAGGAGAAAAACCCCCAAATTTGGTAAAATCCTAAATTCTCAATTTGAGTAGGAAACACTAAATTGAATAGAATTTTCTTTGATTCATGGAATATTGTGAATAATAAAGAGATGAAAGATGCGAATGTGGATATGGTAAAGGAATTGTGACTTGAATGTTATTATGCTTTGAATATTACGTGGTGTTTCGTCTATTGTGATGATGGATGCTTGTTGATGGAATTAAAATGTGATAGAATGGTTAATTGTGCATGAGTCCGGGTAAGAGTCGGTTTCGAAAAATGTGGTGTTGTGTTGATACCCGCGCGCGGGGAGGTTAAAATGGTGCCCAAATGCCCTATCTAGGCTTATCGCTGGACGAATGTGGGAAAGATGTTTTAGGGTGTCCACATAGTCCCGCTGTATAATAGCTGGCAAAAGTGGAAAAGCGGATGGTTTTCTTGAGGAGCCCACTTCCCTTCGTATAATAGCCGGCAAATGTGGGGATGTTTTTGTTGAAACTAAAGCAACTTGTGTTGGACTCTGACATAGGACTCACGGTTTGTTTTCCATTAATGTGATTGTTTAAATGTGTGTTGTAAAGGTGTGAAATGTAATTGTCCATGCTTAATCGTTATGTATTTACATAATTGATGAAGATTACATGTGTTCATAACTCCTTATTATGTTTTGTCTCAAGGATGCCATAAATTTATTCGAATGATTAAATACTTGGTTAAATATATTCCTACTGGGCATGTAGCTCACCCCTATTTTGTTTTTCAGGAAATAATGTTGTATAACTACAATGGTGACTGGAAGTAAGCTGTGTTAGGATTGACAGTTGAGAATGTTTTGCTGTGAAGATTTAGAGTTTTGTACTAGGAGTGTCAGACTTATTTTGTTGTTGTCTTGTACACCCATGGGGTTCTCCTTTTGTAATTGTCATCTTATTTGTAGAACTGGGAGATGGGTACAAGGTTTTATGGACATGTAAATGTGGAAGTTGTAAAATTTAAATCTTAGTTCAGTGAACATGATGGCTTTTGGAGTAGGTTATTATAATGGTTGCGATGGATTCATGTATAAAATTGCAGGGCGTCACACTCAAGCCAACTTAAACAATACCATCTACACCCCTTATCCAGAAACGTATTTACCCCTAAAACATTTCAAGATTTTCAATTGTTTTCTCAAAACAACAAATCAATTGCTAAGGTATAGCCATAATAAGCAATATTCAAAACTATGCAAGATTAGTGAAATGAGATGCAATTATA